TATACACTACCAGCAATGTAGGAAAGTACCCGTTTCCTCTTTCCCTCAGCAACATTTGATATTATAAATTCTTCTAATTTTTACAAACCTGACAAAATAACAAAATTTTGTTTATATCTTGTATTTCCTTAATTAGTAGTGAGATTGGGCACCTTTTCACATTTTATTGGCTATTTATATTTCTCATGTCAATTCCATGTTCATATATTTTGACCATTTTTCTATGGGGATTTTTTTCTTTTTCCTAATTATTTGTATGAACTCTCTTTTTTTTAACACTAATCTTTTGGTTTTTTTCTATGTCACAAGAATTTTCTTCCTGTTACTTGTATTCAAAGTGTTCGTTGTTCTTTTTCCATATATAAATTTAGCATTTTTATGAGATCAAACCTTTATGATTTCTGAGTTTTGTCATGTTTAGAATAGCCTTCCTATCTTAAGACTGAAATTATCTACTCATGTTTTCTATGAGTACTTTTAGGATATTAGATTTTAGGGCTGGGTGCTGTGGCTCACACCTGTAATCCCAGCACTTTGGGAGGCCAAGGTGGGCGGATCACGAGGTCAGGAGATTAAGACCATCTTGGCTAACAAGATGAAACCCTGTCTCTACTAAAAATACATAAAATTAGCTGGCCATGGTGGCGGGTGCCTGTAGTCCCAGCTACTTGGGAGGCTGAGGCAGGAGAATGGTGTGAACCCGGGAGATGGAGGTTGCAGTGAGCCGAGATCACACCACTGCACTCCAGCCTGGGCGACAGAGAGACTCCATCTCAAAAATAATAATAATAATAATAATAATAATAATAATAATAATAATATTTTAGATTTATATTTGGAATTTAAGCATAAGGAATGAGGTAACAGCCTGCTTAGTGTTTTCTCCTACTTAGTTGGCCTGTTTATTGAATATAATGTCATCTCCTTATTAATTTGCAATGTCACTGTTAGCAGATACCAAATTCTCGTATAAAGTATATTGTAAGTCTCTTTTCTGGACTCAGACTTTTAAACCTTTTCTTATACCAGCTCTACACTACTTAAATCAATTTTACTATATTTAATACTTTAAATAAAATTTGAAGCATACCTGTATAATTTACCTTTTTTACTTTTTTTCTTTCTTTTTTTTTTTTTTTGAGACAGTCTCAGTCTGTCACTTAGGCTGGTGGAGTACAGTGGTACCATCACAGCCCCACTGCAGCCTCCACCTCGTGGGCTCAAACGATCGTCCTGCCTCAGCTTCCCTAGTACTGGAACTACAGGCTTGTGCCATCGCATCTGGCTAATTTTTTAAAAAGACTTTTAGTAGAGATGGAGTCTCACTGTGTTGCCCAGGCTGTCTCCAACTCCTGGACTCAGGTGATCCTCCCACTTCAGCCTCCCAAAGTGTTGGGATTATAGATGTGAGCCACTGTGCCTGGCCTTATTTACCTTTCTTACAGTGGTCATTTTGTTGTGAAATATGAACATTATTACTTTTTTTGTTATTTTAAAAATCTTTTGGATATTCTTTTTAAAAAATAATTTTAGACCTGTAGAAAAGTTGCAAAAGTAAAACAGTTTCCTTTATTCTTACCAACTTCACATAGTATGAACATCTTACGTAGCGCAATTATTGAAATCAGGAAATTAATATTGATATAATACTGTTAACTAATCCGCAGACTTCAATCTTTCTTGACATTGACACTTTTAAAAAGGGTACTAGTTATTTTGTAGATTTTTTGTCTGAGGCTTTCTTCTAATTAGATTCAGGACATGAATTTTTTTTGCAAGAATACTAAGGAAGTGATATTGTGTGTTCTTCTCAGGACCTTGTATCAGGAGGCACATGTTGTCAACATGTCTTATTACTAGTGAAGTTATATTTGAATAACTAGTTAAAGTGGTATCTTTCAGTTTTCTCCCTTTGTAATTAGTAAGTATCTCATGGAAAGATATTACCTCATTTCTCATCACACTTTCACCCACTAGATCTGTATCTATCAATGGTTTTTATCTGCAACAATTATTACTGGAGTGTTTGCCTAATGATTTTCTGTTCCCATCATTCCTTCTATATTTATTAGTTGGAAATTCCCGTATAAGGAAGATAATCCCTTCTCCCAATTTATTTATTCAATTATATCCTTATGTCAGTATGGACCCATGGATTTATTTTATTTTATGGGTTCCAATACCATATTATGTTACAACTGTTATATTATGTTACAATATTATATTACAATACCATATTATGTAACAATATGTTGGCACTCTGTATCTGCAGGTTCAACACCAGAGGATTCAAGTCAACTAGAGAGAAAATATTCAGGAAGAAAAACCCAAAATAACAATACAACAGCAACAACAACAACAAAAACCCCCAAAAATACAATATAACAACTACTTACGTAGCATTTACATTGTACTAAGGATTATAAGTAAACGAGATGATTTAAAGTACACGGGAGATGAGCATAACTTATATGCAAATGCTATGCCATTTCATATAAGGGACTTGAGCATCCACAGACTTTGGTATCCAAGGGAGTACTGGAACCAATCCCCTTCAGATACCAAAAGGCAACTATATTTAAGAGATAGAAACAGTGCCAGGCGGGGTGCAGTGGCTCACGCCTGTAATCCCAGCACTTTGGGAGGCTAAGGCGGCAGATCGCAAGGTCAAGAGATCAAGACCATCCTGACCAACATGGTGAAACCCCATCTCTACTAAAAATACAAAAATTAGCTGGGCATGGTGGCGTGCACCTGTAGTCCCAGCTACTCAGGAGGCTGAGGCACGAGAATTGCTTGAACCCGAGAGGCGGAGGTTGCAGTGAGCCGTGATTGCGCCATTGCACTTCAGCCTGGTGACAGAGCCAAAGTCCATATAAAAAAAAAAAAAAAAAAAAAAAAGAGTGCCATTAAGTACTTACAATTGTAGTATAAAGTGTAAGGTCCCCATCTAATCTATGTCTTAATATCTTTGCTTGCAAGGGGAAATGAAATAAAAATTTTCTTAATATTGTAACTTAGATTAAGATTTACAAATTATTTCCATAATTCAGTTACCAGATGCTGAATGTGTATTTACAAGCTCCCACCAATTAAGGGGCTTAGAAAGAGCAGAATATGGAACTGACACAAGGCCAATATCAAACATTCAGGGCAGCACAGGCTGCATCCTGATGCTCACAGTCAGGGGATACATGCATACATGGAAAAACTCCTCCTCTTTTTTGAGACGGAGTTTTGCTGTTGTCGCCCAGGCTGGAGTGCAATGGCACAATCTTGGCTCACTGCAACCTCCACCTCCCAGGTTCAAGCGATTCTCCTGCCTCAGTCTCCCAAGTAGCTGGGATTACAGGCACCTGCCACCACGCCTAATTTTTGTAATTTTAGTTGAGACGGGGTTTCACCATGTTGGTCAGGCTGGTCTTGAACTCCTGACCTCAGGTGATCCACCCCCCCCCCCCCTGGTCCCCCCACAATTGTGTGACAGGCATGAGCCACCGCACCTGGCCACCTTCTTTTTTTTTTTTTTTTTTTTTTTTTTTTGAGATAGGTTCTCACTGTGTCCTCCAGGCTGGAGTGCAGTGACGTGATCTCGGTTCACTGCAACCCCACCTCACGGGCTGAAGAGATCCTCCTACCTCGGCCTCCCAAAGTGCTGGGATTACAGGCATAAGCCACCATGCCTGGCTGAAAAATTCTTTTCTGTACTCTCACAACACTTTTGATATCAGATGTGTGGGAGATGTGTGGGTTTTCCAAAACCAAGTAATTCTCCAATTCTCTATGGACACTAACTGGATGTTCTAAAATTTTATTTTGAACTAACTACCCAGAGTTAGCACAGACCCCACAGGCTAAGGGTTCAGTCCCACAAGACTGCCCCTACCTCAGATGCCAGTCACAAGTCCAGGCCTCCCACTCTTCTGACCAACTAGCTGTAAATTGGGGGTTCCCTTGACCCCTTCCTTGGGTTTGATACTTTGCTAGAACTGCTCAAAGAAGTCAGAGAAACAAGTTTATTGATTTATTTGAAAGAATATAATAAAAAATACAGATAAACAGCCAGATGAAGAGGTACACAGTGGGAAGTCTAGAAGGGTCCCATGCACAGGAGCTTCTGTCCCTATAGAGTTGGGGCGTTTTTATCCTCCCAGCACTTAAATGTGTTCACCAACCAGAAGCTCTCTGAACCCCATTAGAGATATTTATGGAAACTTCATCATGTAGTCATCAGTTATTAACTCAGTCTCCAGCTGCTCTTACCTCCTGGAGGATGAGAATGGGGCTGAGTTCCAAGCTCCTAATCACAGTTGGGTCTTTCTGGTGACCAGCCCCCATCCTGAAGCTATCCATGAACCTACCAAAAGTCACTTCATTAGAACAAAAGAATCTATCACCCAGGAAATTCCAAGGGATTTGGGAGCTCTGTGTCAGGAAGTGGAGTACAAAACGAAATACATTAAAACAAAATATGCTCCCAGCACCCCCCCACCACCATCACTCAGGAAATTATAAGGGTTTTAGGAGCTCTTGTATCAGGAACCAGGAGCAGAGACCAAATATATATTTATTATGCCACTGTGCAAAATACATACCTAGAATACATTGTTTATTAAAGCAAAAAAATTGATGATAGTTAACTGACTGGAACAGGGGGGAAATTCGTTTAACCTATTATTTCCAGCTATTAATAGTGATATCACTTTGAAGTTGCCTAAATTGTTTATTTTTTCCAGGTTTGAAGTAAATAATGGGAAACCACCACAATTTTTATACTGCTATTTCTAATGATGTCACTTATAAGGAACTTGAAAACCTGTTGAATTCTAAAAATATTATGTTAATTGATGTTACAGAGACATGGGGAATTCTGGAGTATCGAAAAATCCCTGGGTCTATCAATATACCATGTAAATGACATGTGTCTTAAATTATTAAAAAACATATAAATAATTTACTATATCTAAAATCTAATTGAAATTCTTAACATTTTCTTTCAGTGGATGAGGTAGGCGAAGCTCTACAGATGAACCCAAGAGACTTCAAAGAGAAGTACAATGAAGTAAAGCCCTCCAAATCTGACCACCTAGTGTTTTCTTGTTTAGCCGGAGTAAGAAGGAAGAAGGCTTTGGACACAGCAGTATCTCTGGGCTTTCACAGGTGTGTAGATGAAGGAAAAAATGGATGCATAAATGTATAATGCAATGTTTCATATATATTACATTTTTATATGTCTATTTAAGAATTTCTTGTAATTATTGTCAGTAAGGCAGGATAGCAAAACTAAGGGCTTCTTGTCATCTTACTCAAAAGCAACACAATCTTTTACATAGGTGGAGTCTAAATTGTATGGTGAATAGCCATGGAATTATCTATCTCTAAATTTCCTATATTCTGTTATAAAGTACAGAAAATGTTTATAGCGGCCGGGCGCAGTGGTTCACGCCTGTAATCCCAGCACTTTGGGAGGCCGAGGCAGGTGGATCATGAGATCAGGAGATTGACACCATCCTGGCCAACATAGTGAAACCCTGTCACTACTAAAAATACAAAAATTAGCTGGGCATGGTGGTGCACTCCTGTAGTCCCAGCTACTTGGAAGGCTGAGGCAGGAGAATTGCTTGAACCTGGGAAGCAGAGGTTGGAGTGAGCCGAGATCACACCACTGCACTCCAGCCTGGCAAGAGCGAGACTCTGTCTCAAAAAAAAGTTTATAGTATTATTTGATGTATGTTTTCAGTGCTCAACACTATGCCAGAGGATAGGAAGAATGGGTAACCTATGAATTTTCAGAGAAGAAACAAGGAAATTGAATTTTTGGAATACAAGTTGGCTCTTTCCTTGTGTACATGCAGCCTAGGATAGTGGAATGAGCAAAATAATAAAAATCTAGTCCTGGCACCAATGATTACGGTAAGGGGATTTTTGTATAAGTCAATTAGTTGTTGAATCATTTTCTCATCTGTAAATTGAAAATGGCACTCTCACCTGAGATAATGCATGTTACTTGCCATGGAAATACAAGGGTTGGGATTCTAGGAATTAATTTTTAAGTAGCTTAGTGTCATTCAATAGTATTCTAAAAGACCAGGTTACTTATATTACCTAATCATGTATGATGTTTGTGTTAGTATACCTTCTATTCATCAAAGGGGCTATGAGCTAGACCTGCAGATTAACACGCAGATGTGGCCTTAAAAAAAAAAAAAAAATCAATTAATCTGGGATCCAGAGAAGTAGGTGAAATTTGAACAACGCAAATACATTAACAGTTTCTAAAGACTTATAGCAGTGTTATGACCAGCATGGTAGTGATGAAATTTGCAATTTAAAAATTAAAATTGGGCCGGGTGTGGTGGCTCATACCCATAATCCGAGCACTTTGGGAGGCCGAGGAGGGTGGATCACGATGTCAGGAGATCAAGACCATCCTGCCCAACATAGTGAAACCACCCGTCTCTACTAAAATACAAAAAATCAGCTGGGCATGGTGGCAGCCGCCTGTCCCAGCTATTCGGGGCTGAGGCAGGAGAATTGCTTGAATCCGGGAGGTGGAAGTTTCAGTGAGCCGAGATCGCGCCACTGCACTCCAGCCTGGCAACAGCGTGAGACTCTGTCTCAAAAAAAATAAATAAAATAAAAATTATGATTCATATGGAGATAATCAGAACAGTGGTTGCTGTTCTACAGGGAAGAAGATTAACTGGAAAAGGCAAGGAGGAGCCGGGCACGGTGGCTCAGGCCTGTGTTCCCAGCACTTTGGGATGCCTAGGCAGGCAGAGATCGCTTGAGCTCAGGAGTTCAAAACCAGCCTGGGCAACATGGTGAAACCCAGTCTCTACAAAAAAAAATACAAAAAATTAGCCAGCCACGGTGGTGCGTGCCACCACTTGGGGGGCTAAAGCAAGAGGATCACTTGAACCCTGGAAGATCACACCACTACACTCCAGCCTGGGTGACAGAGTGAGATCCTGTCTCAGAACAACAACAACAACAACATTGAAAAACAAAAAACAAAAGGCAAGGAGAGAACTTTCTAGGGTGATGGAAATGTTCTGTATCTTGACTGAGGTATTGGTACATAGGTATATACATTTGTCAAAACACACTGAACACTTAAATGTACATTTTTGGTAAGTGATTATACCTCAGTTTAAAAATAATGAAAACAAATGCCTAAATGTAAATGACTCCCACTAGCATGGGTATATTCCTTTGGAGTGTTAAGTCCTACACTTATTAGTGTGCTATTGCACTGGTGGCAAATAAACCTGTTTTCTCTTGTCTGTGCCTCTTTAGACCCATGTATTTTTAGACTCACTCATGCAGTCATTCTTGTAGTAACTATAAGGACTTGTTTTTTCCTAAATGAGATGGAACGCCATTGAAGAATCTGGGGTGGGGATGCAATTTGATCACCTTGAACTTCTATTTCTGACAATGTCAGAAATATATATATTTCTGTCAGTGCATGTGTGTGTATGTACATATATATACACACACACACATATACACACACACATAGAAGAGCCATAATCTCAGGGAGAAGGAAAATTGTAGACAATGAACCAACATTGAAGTACTGGGCCCATCAAGGAATAGGATTCTGGGTAAATACATCAGGCTTTTAGTCGGAATCCCTGAAGAGCTATGCCCTAGAAATAGAGGTGAACCAGAAATTCACAACCCCCACAAGAACTCAAAACAAGCTTTGAATCAACTAAATCCCTGAACGACTCAAGGTGATCTTCCTAATATCTTAAGGGCCTACCAGAAGTAAATCCTCTCTAGAGAAAGATACCATTATCTAGCTAGAGCAGAAGTTGGCAATAATAAATCTTTTAGTCTTGTGGCCAATTAGGTTTCTGTTGCAACTGCTTAACTCTGCTGTTGCAGCACAAAAGCAGCCACAGACAATACATAATGTGACTATTCCAGTAACTCTACTTATGGCCACTTAGGTTTGAATTTTGTTTCATGTGTTGTCAAATATTATTCTTCATTTGATTATTTTTCAATCATTTAAACATACAGCAAACATTCTTAACTTAAAGCCAGGCAAAAACAGGTAGCAGGTCAGATTTGGTCCATGGGGCATAATTTGTAGATCCCTGAGCTACAGCCACAAATTATCCTTACAATTTTTCACATACAATTTCACCTTCCAATTTTCACACACAATTTCAGTATTCTACCAAAAATTACTAAGCACAGCAGTCAATAGGACTTTATGATTGAGAAACAATGGAAAAACATGACAAGAGAAATGGATCCACAGAAGAACTACAGATTGGAAGTTTTCAGACACAGACTTTAAAATAACTGTGATTAATATATTCAGCAACTTAAACACCCATTAGAAGGTAGACAGGTTTAACGGCAGATTAGACACGCCTGATGACAGGATTAGTGAAAATGGAGAAATCAGAGGTACATGTCTTAACATGGATGACTCTTACAATGTTGAGGGAAAAAAGCAAATTACAGAAACATATACAGTATAGTTTTTTTTTTTTTGACAAGGTTTTTCACTGTTACCAAGACTGAAATGCAGTGGCAAGATCACAGCTCATTGTAACCTATACCTCCTGAGCTGAAGCAATCCTCCCATCTCGCCCTCCAGAGTAGCTGGGGCTACAGGCACACACCGCCACACCTGGGTAGTTTTTTCACTTTTTGTAGAGACAGGGTCTCGCTATGTGGCCCAGGTTGGTCTCAAACTCCTAGCCTCAGCTGATCCTATTCTTCTGCCTCCCAAAGCACTGGGATTACAGGCATGAGCCACCATGCCTGGCCAGTATAGTTTTTAAACATATAAAATATTATATTATTATTTAGGCATATGGACATATATAGTGTACATATAAATATAAAAATAATAAATATCTAATTCTTAATGGTTTCCAATGGGGGAAGGGAGAGGAACACAATAGGCTTTAACAGTATTGTTGACAATTTTATTTAACATGTTTGGTAGGTAAGCACTTATTTTTACCTTTTGTATGCATGGGACAGGAACTGTTATCCCCACTTGGCTACACCTGAACAAGACTATACAATTATACCTTTGGATTCCTGGTACTCCCCCCCCTTTTTTTTTTTAAGAAAAAACTTGATAATGTATTCTATTTACCCAAATAAACAAAGGGTTAATAAATTAGAATAATGTTATCTTCTATATTAGCTCAAACTTATAAAGACAATTTTAGTTGTCAGTTATTCTGATATATTTAACAAATTTTATGTGTGTATATATATGTGTATATATGTGTATGCATATGTGTGTGTGTGTATATATGTGTGTGTGTGTGTATATATATTTTTTTTTAGATGGAGTCTCGCTCTGTCACCCAGGCTGGAGTGCACTGGCAGGATCTTGGCTCACTGCAAGTTCCACCTCCCGAATTCACACCATTCTCCTGCCTCAGCCTCCCGAGTAGCTGGGACTACAGGCACCCGCCACCACGCCCAGCTAATTTTTTTTCTATTTTTAGTAGAGATGGGGTTTCACCATGTTAGCCGGGATGGTCTCGATCTCCTGACCTCGTGATTTGCCCACCTTGGCCTCCCAAAGTGCTGGATTACAGGCATGAGCCACCACACCTGGCCTTTTTTTTTTTTTTTTTTTTGAGACAGGGAGACAGGTTCTCACTCTTTCTCCCAGGCTGGAGTGCAGTGGTGCAATCTCCTCTCACTGCAACCTCTGGCTCTAGACAAATTATACATTTTTTTTTTTTTTTTAAACCAGGTCTCACTCTGTCTTCCGAGTGGAGTGCAGTGGCATCATCATAGCTCACTGCAGCTTGACTTCCTGGGCAGCTCACATGATTCTCCTGCCTCAGCCTCCTGGGTAGCTAGGACAAAAGGCACATACCACCACACCGAGCTAATTTTTCTAATTTTTGTAGAAGCAGGGTTTCACCATGTTCCCCAGGCTGGTCCCAAACTCCTGGGTTCAAGCAATCACCCTGCCTTGGCCTCCCAAAGTGTTGGGACTACAGACATGAGCCACAGCACCTGGCCTTATGCCAACAAAACTCTTAGGAGTAAAACCGTTATTAAGATCTGTAGTATCAGAGACCTCAAAATGTGACTATACAGCATATGATTTAATACATCATTTAATAAATGTCTGTTTATTTGAATAATGGGAGAATATC